CTTAAAATATAATGGCCCAAATCACATCCCTCACCCATGACTGAACGCATGGCTTGATAACGTTAGAGAGGCCACCGTGATGAGCTGGGAAGAGTAAATGTTTACCTCCAGGGGCTGGGAAAGATCCAGCCTCCTCTGAAAGGATGCAGGGCAATGGCTTTGTTGAGGCAACACGTGGCGTTGGCCAAGGATAAGAAAAACTTGCAAATGAATTTGCAACATATTTTTGTCTGTTGATAACTGTGGCCTTGAGCCACAGTAGAATTGGGATTTAATTTATGAAAAATGCCCAACCCACAAAAAGGTACACAATGCCAGTCGCTGCTGCTGCTTTTTATTTATTTATTTATTTTTTGATGCTTGGAATAGGTATTTTAAGACAAGCTAAAAGTCACCACTTTTACTTTTACACTGACCTTTAATTTTTTGGTCCTTATAAAAATAAATGAAAGAAGAGATTATGGGAATAAAAAAATGATAATTGATTATGTATCTTCCCCATCCCAGAGGCCTTAATTTTTAGCACTCCTTTCAAATAGTGTCAGAAGTCTCTCGAAGAGAATTTTCTTCTAAATTCATGCTGTATGAAATTCAAAATAATGTTAGAGGCTTTATGATACAAGGATTTAATTTTCCTTGTAAATCTTGTTAAGTACATAAAATAATGCAACACAAACTGATTACAGAAACATGTAATTTTGGTTCTAAAAGGTGCTTTAGAAGTCATTTAATCTCAGCCATTTATTTTAAGATGGAGATTTGTGATGCATTCAAGGTCATTAGTGAGTATGAAGCTTGGAACTACAGGTTGTTTCTTAGAATTCCAAGTCTAGGACATGTTTTCACTCTCCTACACCACCCTGAAGGACTCATTTTTTTTTCCTATTAAAAATGCAGTATTTTGTTCAAAAGTTGCATCTCTTTATCAGCGGTTCTCAACCTGTGGGTCGCGACCCCTTTGGTGGTCAAACGACCCTTTCACAGGGGTCGCCTAAGACCATCCTGCATATCAGATATTTACATTACGATTCATAACAGTAGCAACATTACAGTTATGAAGTAGCAACGAAAATAATGTTATGGTTGGGTCACAACATGAGGAACTGTATTTAAAGGGCCAGAAGGTTGAGACCACTACCTTAGATAGTACTAAGAACAATTATCTCACTGTCACTATCCTATTCTATCCTATTCTATTCTATTCTATTCTATTCTATTCTATTCTATTCTATTCTATTCTATTCTATTCTATTCTATTCTATTCTATTCATCAGTGAGGAGAGGTCCTCATTTCTACTGGTTGCTAGTGGAAGTGGGCTTCTTGGGATACCCTGAGAAAAAGAATTTTCTGAGACTCTCATGGGAAAATGAGGTATTGTAGAAAGCTTTATCTTTGTGCAATTAAACTCTTGAATTTCCAAAGCCCCATTTCCCTCTGTCCTGCCATGGAAGAAGCCCCATTTTGCCTTCAGCAGAGCTCAAATCAAAGCCACTGCCCAGAGTTTCCATTCCACGTAGGGACACAGTCTAATTCAGCATCAGACTAGTTGCAGTCTATCAGTCCATGGTGCTTGGGGTCGCCATGGCCACATGGCTATGGAGGAAACACTGGCAGGAGGAGTAAAGCCAAAGGAACCAGAGAGCTGAAAGAGCCAGAAGAAGAGAGAGTTCCTTGGTCTAGGGATTATGTATTCCCAAATTTGTGTGGGCTTGCAATGACTCTGCCTACTCTAGCCAATCCATGGTTCCCCAGGCTTGACTGACAGGCACTTTCCCTGTGTCACCCTGACTCATTGCACATGCGCCCATCTTCCCCTTTGTTGGACCCCTTCCCCCAGTGACCTACAGGGAATGGGCCAGTGGACCCCTGGGGAGTGTGAAATTGCAGCTTCCTGGTGAAGCTGCCAAAATGGCCATGCCTATAATGCCTGGACTTCCCTTTTGCTCCTGTTCTATTATTAATAACTAGCTAATTACAAAGGTACCAATATTTTATATCATATTAACTTTATGTGTTATGCATATATTTATATATCATATCTATTTTTATATAAGGTAGGGATTATTAGTAACATACATTTGCAATGAGATTACAAGCAAATTATTTGGATGGATTAGTTAGAAATTCTGTCCCAAACTGTACCTGTCATTGGTGATAATTTATTTTTTGCTATAATGTATCATACCTTATATTGGAAATAACAGATGACATCACTGGCCTGGATCTGATGATCAACTTCCCTATCCCTTTTCCTGAAAACCTTGAGTATCACTTTCTTCAACCTCTTTGTACATTCTTCAAGGAGCTCCTGTAGGCCTCTAAAGAAATTATTTTTCACTATATCTATCTTCCAATGTGGCTTTGCTGTTTTATGACTCTTATATAAACAACAGAAGTAAACAACATGTAGTAGGCATATAAAACAATTTAATAGAGATTAAAAATTTAACTTAATGGTACCTAAGCTTTGGGGAGGAGTCTAACAGCACATTTAGCAACCAATGAAATTGCAAGGCTTTTATCAGATTATAGTTTGGAAGAAGTTACATTAAAAAATTTAAACTGCTAGATATAAATGTTCAAAACTTTCTTTTAAACTTACTCAGAAGTTTTAGCATCTCCTTCACTCTCCACCTTCTCTCTATATAAAAATGCTCTGGTTTCTCCTTTCTTAATGCCCTTCTCTAAGTCTTCTCATTCTTTCTAGCTACTTCCTTTTTTTCCTTCTTTTCACTTTCAAAATTTTTAGTTGGATGATGGGGACAGCCTCTGCTTCTACTTACTCAACAGCCCTTCTTTCCTAGTCTCCTTGCACCTGCGGCTATAACCTGCCTACTCTAGGCTTCCTAACCTCCTCAGTGCTAAGTACAATGACATACTCTGGGTCCTACATCCCCTTATCCTCTCGATGCCACTGAGAATCTGCTCCTCCCTTCCCTCTGCCCGAACACCTCCTTCACTGCTCTCTACCATCCACCTCTCCTCATCCTTCCACTTTCTCGCTGATCATTCTTCTGTCTTTTCCTCTCATTTCTCTCCACCCTCCTGTCTCTTAAGCATGATTACGTGGCCATTTTAAAGTGTGATCTGATCTTTCATGGTCCTCTCTTTTAGGCATATTTCATTTATTCCTAGGACTAAAACCTTCATCTGGGAAAATTATTCCTACTAAATGTGTAGCCCACTCTTCTCTCAAAGGTCTAGTTTTCCAATCACTTGCCAAGCATTGCTGCTTGATTAGCCTGCCATGGACTCAAACTAGTGTGTCTGGGATGAAACAGCTTTTCCTGTTATAAAACGCCTTAGTCTCTTGAATTCCCTGTATCTTTCTATGGTCTCCAAGAATCACACATTACAGCCACTTGAAGTATAACAGCCATCCCTTTGCTCTATCTACCTCTCAAGCCCCCTATCACGTAGAGTTTCTGTGAATTATTTCTTGAAAGTGCTGCTTGCTTTTAATCCTACTCCCTTTTCCCCCTGCAGGTTTCCTCTGCTAGGTCCTTATTCAATAATATTTTGTCTTATTGAAGCAATCTTTCTGTTCATATCCGCCATCCCATCTTTCAGTCTAATTCTAATCCCTTCTGCATTCTAAAGGCAAATTCATCTTTCTGCATTATCACTCTGATTATGCCATTATAAATGAAATTTTGGGTGACTGCTATATTGGAAAAAACCTCTTTAGTCACTCATTACAGACTTTCTCCAATGTAAAAGCAGCGTCTCTTCCTATTCTCATCTTTCTTCTCAAAAGGATCCTCTTGCTCCAGCTAATTGGATCAGTCGCCACTTTCACAAAATGCTGATGCTCTTGTTGGCACCCTTCCTGGAAGGCCCTTTATCCTGTTCACCACCAGCTCAGCCTGTAACAGACAGCACAGTTCTCACCACTTCTGCAAAGCCTTCCCGTACCACTCTGGCCCGAAGTAATCTTGGCTTCCATAAACTTGGACAGCATTTGTTAACCGATCAATTCATTTTGCAGAGTCGTGCACTGGTGTGACAACCTGTGTCATTATTACCTTGAACTTTTATTAGAAATATATCTGCAAGGACTAAATCTATTTGAAAATGTACCGATGATGTCCTTATTTCTATTTACTTCAAGTAAAAGACCTTAAAGACAAGGGCCATGTTCATTCATTCAACTTTTACTAAGTGGTTTCTGTGAAATATTTAGAGAGATGGAACAGAATGAAACATGATCCTTGTCTATAAACAGTGACACTCTGATGAGACAGGCTGGTAGATGAGTGAATAATGGCTAAAGGTTGCTTTAAATGTTATAATAGAAAGATGTGTGGGATCTAGTTAGGAAATGAAGGATAGATGACCAGTACCATGAGGAGTGTTTAGAAAAAGCCACGATGATACATGAGTCTAGAAAGGCTTTAGAGAGAGCAATGCTTATGATGGGTCTTTCTTTTATATCATGGTTCATTCTTATAGAGTGTCGTGAGCATGCCCAAGGAAGGGAAGACCTAATTAAGTGAGGAAATAGATCACAAGAAAGCTAATCCTGAATATGTACATTTTCCAGTAAATAGAATGCATACAAGTTCAAGCAATTTTTTATTTATTTATTTATTATTTTTATTGATTAAGTTATTACATATGTGTCCTTATCCCCATGTTCCCCCCTATCCCCCCTCACTCATGCCCTCACCCCTCTGTTGTCTGTCCAGTTTGGCTGAAGCATAGATGTTTTATTGGTGTTAAAAATAATGTAATTATAGATAATGTATATTTGATTCATGTTATTTTTTTATTCCTATCTAAAGTACCTTTCTTTCATACATTTCCTTCTGTAAACAACTGTTAAGATAAGACACGTATGCATATTGTTTTTGAATTTTATGTTGGGAAAAAACAATTATCTGACTTTGGCTTTCTAGAATTTATAAGTTGAAAACTCTACCCAGTGCCTTCAGCTCCATATAATTATAGTGAAAGAATCTTAAGGTGGCCAATTGTCTCTTTATTATCTTGTATATAGAATGTTCACACCAACAGTTTTCAAGAAATTGAAGAGATGCAGGATGATAAGAAGCGGGTCTGTTTGAAGGTGGAGTAAATAGTATCATTGGTCATGATTTGGAAAATTAATAATTTCTGTTTTCTCATATATGACAAATCTGAAGATAAAGCAACAAGAAATTGAAAAATATTTTTATTGTTAGTCACCTAAATGGAGTCCAAAAGGTAAGTTATTAAATAAAGAAAACTTTGGTTCCATAGCAAAAGATAATATAACACCAAGTAGATAAATCAGTTGGTATATTATGTAAATTCAATGCAAAATTACTCATCTACTTATTTTAAAATCGTTGTTACTCCTTGGATAAAAAATGCAAAGGGAAATTATTGATCCATAGGTAGAAAAGGAAATGACTGATTCTGAAGCACTGGCTGAATAGCATGTGTTGTTTTAGCTAAATCGCATGTATGATTTAAATGCCTTTCTGATGGTAGGCCTTACCCGATCTTGGCAATTCATTTATTCCCCCTTTTACTTGCATTCTATTTCATCATGCTACAATCACTGTCTGATATATACAAACAGCACATTTCTCTATTTAAAAAAAAAAAAAATCAAAACCAAATCCAATTTAGATCGTAAGTAGCCTGTGGCATTTGCATAAAGAATCAATGTGCTTCTTGCTAGATAGTTAAACCCACAAAGTTTTACATAAGGCCTGTGCATTCTCTCTGAGTCAAGCCTGATGAAAATGTACATAATGAAGCTTCAGCCCTGTCAAGGGGTTTGTACGCTCGAGCTTGACATTAGTATAATTGAGAGGTCGAGTAAAAGGCCCATCACCATGCCTTTTGTTAGCCCCAGTGCCAATAGTGATAAAAAGAAAAGGATGTTTAGGAACTTTCAGAGTATGCATTTATATTTTAACTAGAGGCCAGGTGCACAAACTTTGTGCAAGAGTAGGCCTTCCTTCCCCCGGCTGCTGGCGCTGGCTTCCCTCTGGCACCCGGGACCTGAGCTTCCCTCGCAGCCTGCTGGGGTCCTGCCCCAGCAGATCCAGGGGTTCCCAAAGGCGTAGACGGAGTCGGTGAAGAAGGAACGACACAGAGACAGTGTTCAGTTGATCAGCAGCCTAGCCAGGATCTCCAGCCAGGATCTCCAGCCAAGTTCTGGTCTGGATCTCCAGAGAGGTTCTGCTCTGGATCTCCAGCGAAGTTCTGGTTAGGATCTCCAGCCAGGTTCTGTGTCCATGTTCTCTTGCTAGGTTCTCCAGGTTCTCCAGCCAGGTTCTGTAGCCATGTTCCCTCGCTAGGTTCTCCAGCCAGGTTCTGTCCAGGTTCTCCAGCCAGGTTCTGTAGCCATGTTCCCTCGCTAGGTTCTCCAGCCAGGTTCTGTGTCCATGTTCTCTTGCTAGGTTCTCCAGGTTCTCCAGCCAGGTTCTGTCCAGGTTCTCCAGCCAGGTTCAGTCACCAGGTTCTAGTCAGGTTCTCTTGCCAATTTCTGTAGTCAGGTTCAGTCCAGGATCTTTTGCCATGTTCTCTCCAGCGAAGTTCTTCTGTCTCTAGGTTCTGTGTAGGTTCTGTCTTCTAAGTTCTGTCTCTCGCTGTCTTGTTACATCTGTATTTATACCAGTTGATTCAATCCTATCAATCTCTATTACAAAGGTTAGGGCGTTTCTTATCTCCATTCCAGGGAGTAAAGATTATGTAGCTTAAGCATGATTGTTCGTAGTTAAAGTGATTAATTACCCGCCTGGCACTTAGTTGAGGGGTTTTATTCCCTCCCTAACTTCAGGGGAAAATCCCTACCTGGGGAAACAACCTTTCTCAGAGAGGAGACCTTGGTTAAAACACATAGTGCCAAGAAGGTGAGCAAACATATTAAGAACAGTATGCCATATATGCCAGGTCCTTTGAAACAGCAAGGATGCACTGGCTCCCGGCAGCAGCCCTGGTTTTCATCCGGAAGGTCGTCCGGAAGGACGTCCGGTCTAATTAGCATATTATACTTTTATTATTATAGATTTTCATTAATCACTTAGAATAAGCAAATAATATTTTTAGTTGGAATAGAATACAAACTTCCTGAAGGGGGACTGAATCAGAGTATAACAGAAGCAAGAGCTTTGGGGTCAGATAGACAGGGGTTTGTGTTTCATTCTAGCTTTTTACTAGTTGTGTGATCCTGCCCAGGTTCTTTGGAATTTTCTCATCTCTAAATAATATTGGTAGTTACTACAACTTAAAAATATATATATAAAATTTCTGGCTATAGAAAGTAGTTAAGTATTCTTATCAAAGATGCTGTTATTTAGGCAAGTGTTAAAATATTACATTTGGGACCCTCCTTTGCTTTGAGATTTTGACTCACAATTGTTATCCAGTTGATTAGCTGGTTATATAGCATTATAATATTAGAAGGCTGCCTTTCTGATGTTTATGTGGACCCATTAGTCTCAAGTGTGGTTGAGCCTGTGGAATAAGGCAAGGACCTGTCTCTAATTATTTTAATCATGCACAAAGAATGAAAAATGAAACTACACTAAAGGATAAACTCTTTAGAAGTGCAATGCCTGCAAGTAAATATGGAAAGAGCATTTTTAATATTGTTGACCCATTTGGCTTGATATTTTATATATAAATATATATGTATATTTATAAATATATATATTTATAAATATATATATGTTTATATATATTTATATATATATATATATAGGGCCCAGCGCTGGCCCCGCTCCCCACCACTGCCACCAGTTGCCTCCCTCTGTGGGGTAATTGGCGGGGTGATTGGGGGCCCCTGCTGGCACCCACCTTTGCTTGCCTGGGGCCTATGGGCTGGGGGTAGCTCCTGTGTTGAGCCTCTGCTTCCTGGTGCATCATAGCGACTGGTCATTCCACTGTTCAGCCTATTTGCATATTAGGCTTTTATTATATAGACTAAGAAGTCCAAAAAATGCATACACACACTTTGAATAATTATAAAGGCAATTTTTTTATTAAAATAAATTTCATTTTCAAAATTGATCTATCAGCTGTTACAGTGTGTATACATTTTTTAGGATACCATATCTATATCTATATATGTATAAGTGTGTGTATTATATGTATATATGTATGTATATATGTTTATATACACATATGTGTAGGGTTGGGTAAATGTAGATTTACAGTTATTTATATGAAAAAATGATACAATAAGTAATAGAAGAATAAACTTGTGTTTTGCATACTCACAACTGTAAACCTAATTTGCCCCAACCTATTATGTGTGTGTGTCTGTGTATATACTATATGCTCTTTCTTACTATACAGTAAGATGTCAGGGTAGATAGAGAAATGATTCTGCTATGTAAATGTGCCACATGCCTATATTATGCTTTTTCAAGGAAAAGAAAAGCACAACTTTTGTTTTTTAAATCTGCAACCAAGGATGTGCTTAGAGAGAGGAAGGGACAGAGAAAGAGAGAGAGAAAGAGAGAAACATCGATATGAGAGAGAAACACCATCTATTGCCTTTCGTACATGCCCTGACCTGAGATCCAACCCTCAGCCCAAGCATGTTCCCTGACTGGGAATCAAACCGGCAACGCTTCAGTGCACTGGATGATGCTCACCCAACTGAGCCACTCCAGCCTGGCCAAAAAGCACAAAATGTATAGATTGCAACGTGTGTTTCTTTTCAGTTGCATAATCGCAATGGTTGAGCATAATTTTCCCTGTGAGCCAAAGGTCGCAGCATAGCAGTTTCACAAACCCTTGAGTGGTACCCAGCAGAAAGCCCAGAAGTACAGAGGACAACTCACTTAGGTGACTCAGGTCATTACAGACAGAGGTTCAGGATAGACATTGAACTTACTTTTACTAACTAACAGTGTATCCTTTGGCAAATTGCATTTCTCCAAGAATATCTCTTCACATAGGACGTGAACTGATGATAATACTTGCTCTATCTTGCTAGATTGTTGTGAACATTAAATGTGATTGTAAATGACCAAATATGAAGGAGACTCTGAGTCATTGGCAGGTGTCTGGGTCTTTTCTATTTCAGCCTCTTTAATGGTTTTGTGAGCCCCATCGATGATTGAGATACAAAGAGAAAGAAATGTTTAGGAACTTTTCAAATGTCCATTTCTATTTGAATTTTGATTTCAACTCTTATAACAAACATATTATTTCTGGTAATGGAATAACATGTGAAATTCCAGATGGGAAACTGAGGCAAGAGGGACTTGGGGCCAGTCAGACATGGGTCCATATCTCAGCTAGCTCCATGATCCTGCCCATGTTCTTTTATTCTCTCATCTGTGTACATATATAAAAGTTTAATATGCAAAGTGTCCCCTCTGGAGTTTGACTGGAGACCGGGAGTTCGATTGCTTGCTATGATGTGCGCTGACCACCAGGGGGCAGCACGGAACAAAGGAAGGCCCCGTTGGCAGCTGGCAGCCAGAGAAGGAAGGCCCTGGCCAGCAGCTGGAGAAAGGAGGCCCTGGCTAGCAGCCAAAGGCCTCCATTGGCCTTGATTGCCAGCCAGGCCTAGGTACCCTACCTGTGCATGAATTTCGTGCACCAGGCCTCTAGTCCTATATAATAAAAGACTAATATGCAAATCCACTGAATGGCCAAACGACCGGTCGCTATGACGTGCACTGACCACCAGGGGGCAGATGCTCAATGCAGGTGCTGCCCCAGGTGGTTAGTGCGCTCCCACGGGGGGGAGCGCCATTCTGCCAGAAGCTGGGCTTATGGCTGGCAAGTGCAGTGGCAGTGGCGGAAGCCTCTCCCATCTCCGGGGCAGTTGGACATCCCCCAAGGGCTCCCAGACTGCAAGAGGGCACAGGCTCGGCTGAGGGCCAGGTGGTGTTGGATTGCCGGTTTTGGCCCAATCCCCACAGGCCATGCCGAGGGACCCTATGTGTGCATGAATTTGTGCACTGGGCCTCTAGTCTCGAAATAATAGGGATAGTTCCTACAATTCTAGAATATAATAAATTAGCATTTTTGCCTTCAGAATTTACTTTAGATTTAAAGATTTTGGTAAAGGAGCTTGTGAAAACTCAGAAAGAACATACCCCAAAATGAATTTCTATAAATTGGAGCCTTTGGGTTAAATAATTTCCCCAAGTAAAATTTGAAAATTTGACTTGGGTCCTTTAAGAAAAACGTTAGCATCTACCACAGCAAATATTTCATAGAATCTTAAGGTGCTGTCTGTCTTTACA